GCATGAAGTGACTTTGGGCAGAATGATAGCATAATTGGTTCTGAACAGATGGTAGCAATTGTGGCAAAAAGTGAATCCAGGTCTATTTCACGGACTTTCCAAGACAGCTAAGAATCCCAAGGGCTTGCCCGGCTCTGCCAGGTGAGTCAAAAGGTCTTGCACACCTATGCTGTCTTTTCAAGTAATAAAGTTTATTTTGTATTATATGAAAAGTGTACATTATTGAGCCCAATTAAAAACAAAAATTTAGAGAGAGAATCAAGATGGCGGAGGAGAGAGTGGAAGTCACACTGACCTCCTCCCAGGGACAATCTGGAATTATAACTAAATTGTGGAGAAATCACCTGGAACAAACAACTGCACAAGAGCGAGAGAGGAGCCTTGTATCCTTGGAGACAGAAGAACAGGCTTTAGCGCAACCTAACTGGTAAGGAGTGCAGTACAGACCTGAGAAGGCGGGCGGGGCACCCACGGGCAGCAGCACCAGAAGGATATTGAAACAGCCAGTGGGATCCCCCTGAGAGGAGCGGGGTCTAAACCAAAAGTGGGGATCTCTAGCCAACAGCACCAGAGCCCAAAAACTACACAGAAAACAGCCAGTTGGAAAAAGCGGCAGGGCTGTTCTCCGCCAGAGACAGGCGGCTGGAGACGCATAGAGCCTTCTAAAGGGCCAATGCAAAATTTTTATTTGCAGCCACTTACCCTGGTCTCTAGCAAAGGCAGGGGCAGAGTGGGCTGGAGACGCCTGAGAAGAGACTGAGGAAGGAGGCTTTAGGGAGAGAACTGAGAGAGTAGCCGGCAGGATCTCAGTGCTGACTCATCCCTCATGCGGCAGCGACCATCTTGCTCACGCAAAGACCACTCCCCCTGAGAAGCACCAGCATGAATGGACCCAATAGCCCCACGCCCAGGTGGGATTCCACCCCGCCCTGTGCTGTCTAAGCTGCCTGCTGAGTGTAGAGTGGTAGCCAGACAGTAGATCCTTGCCTAAAGGGGGTGTAGAAGTCTGATGACACTTGGGAGACACTGGGGATGGAGGCTTTGGAGAGAGAACGGGAAGAGTAGCCGGTGGGATCCCAGAGCGGACTCCTCCCCCATACAACAGCAAAGGGAAAAGACCCAATAACCCTGCCCCTAGGAGGGACTCTACGCTGCCATGAGCTGTCTAAGGCACCCTGCTGAGTGCAGAGTGAATAGATTAACAGCTGAAGGAGACAGCCATAAGCAGTAGATTACTGGAAGTCTCGAACACACTGCCTCAGGTCAGACAGGGTCAACATCTGACATCATCAGAGGCCGATCCAGAAAGTAAAAACAGCGGTCTCCGACCATAGAAGTTCACACCACAAAGTCAGGAAATCAAGACAGATCAACTTAAGAAGCAGAAGCAAAAGAGAAGAGTCTCACAAAGAATGGGAAGGCACAGAAATACCCTCCACTTGAAGGGAAAGGAGGAATCCCCAGAAAGAGAACTAAATGAAATAAAGTCGAGTAAACTATCAGATATTGAGTTCTAAACAACAGTTCTAAGGAAGCTCAATGAGCTCAGTGAGCTCAGAAAGAATTAAAAAAACTACAGGGAAACTACAAGGAACTTACTGCAAAGTATATCAGCATGAACAAGGACATAGAGACTATCAACAAGAGACAAGAGGAAATGAAGAATACAATTTCTGAATTGAAGAACACAATAGAAGGAATCAAAAGCAGACTAGATGAAGCCGAGGACCAAATCAGCGAGCTGGAGGATAAGGTAGAAAAAAGCTCCCAGAAAGAGCAAGAAAATGAAAAAAGACTCAAAAAGAATGAAGAGGCATTAAGGGAAATGCAAGACCACCTGAAATGTAATAATATCCGCATAATAGGGATACCAGAAGGAGAAGAGGGTAAGGAAGGGCTAGAGAACCTCTTTGAAAAAGTAATGATAGAAAACTTCCCTAATTGGAGGAGAGAAAAAGTTCCACAAGTCCAGGAAGCACAGAGGGTCCCATTCAAGGGAAAACCAGTGAGGCCCACTCCAAGACACATCATCATTAAAATGGTAAATATGAAAGACAGAGAATCCTAAAACAAGTAAGAGAGAAAGAGGTAGTAACATATAAGGGAGCCCCGATATGGCTAGCATCTGACTCCTCAACAGAAACACTACAAGCCAGAAGGGAATGGCAAGAAATATTCCAAGTCATGAAAAGCAAAAGCCTGCCACCAAAACTGCTCTTACCCAGCAAGGCTCTCAATGAAAATGGAAGGCAAAATACGGAGTTTCCCAGACAAAAGAAGGCTAAAAGAATACACCACCAAACCAGCACTGCAAAATATGCTAAAGGGACTGGTCTAAGATGAAGAAAAAGTTTCTATGAGTACCCAGTTCCTTTCAGAAGTGCCAATACTTGATATTACCAATATTTTTAATACTCATTAATCTGATTGTGACAATGATGTTATTTGTTCCTTTACTGTTTGTTGAAACTAAACCTGTTTTAGTATATTTCTTGCCTATTTCTATTATTTTTTTAAAAAAAGCTTTAAATGACTTTTTGGTATTCTTTATCCATTTATTGATTAAAGATTTGTAGAACTTTTTTCTCTAAAAATAATAAAACTTATTAACCAAGTTTTAGATATGTTGCAAATACTTTTCAATTCTATTCCTTGTCCTTTAACTTTTTTTAATATGTATATTACTATATAGTTAAATGTTTAATATAGTCATATTGTCAATGTTTATAGCTTCTGGGGTTGAATATTTTACTTTAGGTCATGAACTATATTAGTTTGTATTTCCTCCTAAAACTCCTTTGATTCTACATATTGATTTTTAACTCACCTGAATATTTCTTGTATAATGTGTGAAATAGGGCTATTTGTTTTATCTCAAGTAATAGTGGTCCATGCACCTTATTTGCTGAATAATCCTTATTTTACCCTTTGATGTGAAATATCAACTTAATCATACATATATTAATCAGATATATATGTTTTTCTCTAGAATGCTCATTATATTTCATTGATCTACTTGATTATTTCTGTGCTAGGGTCATGTTGGTTTAATTGCTGAAACTTTATAACGGTTTTAAATTTTTATAAATATTTTATAATTAAATTTGACATTTAAAAAAATAAAATCAAACTGCACTTAAGAAAGAGAGAGAGATGGAATTCCTACCTTTTGCGACAACATGGAGGGAACTGGAGAATATTAAGCTAAGTGAAATAAGCCAGTTGATGAAAGACAAATACCATATGATCTCACCTATATGTGGACTCTATTCAACAAAATAAACTAATGAACAAAATAAACCACAGGCATGGAAACATGGAGCAGACTGAAAGTGACCAGAGGTGAGGGGGAAGGAGGACAATGGTGGAAAGAAGGGGAAAGGACTAGACAAAGAACATGTATGACCCATGGACATGGACAACAGAGTGGGAATTGACTGTGCGAGTGGGGGGTGGGGGCGGGATGGGTGGAAGGGGTTAAAGGGGTAAAAATAGAGACAACTGTAATAGAATAAACATGATTTATAAATTAAAAAATAAAATAAAATAAAATAAATTATTTTGGGGAAAGAACACCGAAACTTTATATAACTGGAATACAGATGTGTCTAATTTTCTCTGTAAAGTAACATTTTTTCATTTGCATAGAAGACATTTAACAAGAAATCTGGTGGTATAAAAAATAATAACTGGAGCCCTGGCTGGTGTGGCTCAGTGGATTGAGTGACACACTGTGAAGTAAGTGGTCGCCGGTTCAATTCCCAGTTAGGGCACATGCCTGGGTTGCCGGAAGGAAGGTCCCCAGGGTGGGATGCACGAGAGGCAACCACACATTCATGTTTCTCTTCCTCTTTCTCTCCATCTCTTCCCCTCTCTATAAAAATACAATAAATATAATCTGAAAAAAGAACTGGAGACATTATAAAGACTAAGTAGGGAGATGAAAGAAACATTTGTAAAATAAAAGAATGCTTCTATTCATTAGTATCTGGAAAAATCTAACTATTGTATCACCTAAAAATAATAAAACAGTAAGATTTCAAAATTCAGGATTAATAACAGACCAATAAAAGCACTGAGCATTTGTAAGGTAAAATAGTTTCATTAATAGATTTCTATGTTGAATGAAAAGTTTTGTGAGACATGGTATGTGCTGCAATTTGATTATGTGATATAATCCAAACATTCTATTTTTAGATACCATAATCACTCTGAACTAGTACATTAGTCAAGATTCTCCAAAGAAATAGAACCAATAAGATGTGTGTGTTTGTGTGTGTGTGTGTGTGTGAGCACATATGAGAGAGAGAGATTTATTTTAAGGAATTGGCTCATGTGATTATGGGGGTTGCTAAGGTTGAAATTTGCAGGGCTGGCCAGCAGTCTGCAAATAATTCTGGCAGGTGTTAATGCTGCAGTCTTGTCAATCTGGAGTAGCAATTACTTTCTCCTTGGAGGACTTCAACTTTTTCTCTTAAGGATTTCAACTGATTGGATGAGGCCTACTTACCTTATGAAGGGTACCGTATTTTGCCAAGTATAATGTGCACACGTTTTGTGTGCATTACACATGGGATTATGGCATGTGATCATTATACTCATGTATAATGTGCATTCTTACTTTTCCCTCAAAAATGTGGGCAAAAAGTATGCATTATACACGGTAAAGTATGGTAATTTGCTTTACTAAAAGTCTGCTGGTTTAAATGTTAAATACATCTCAAAAATACCTTCCCAGCAATATCTAGACTGCTGTCTGATCAAGCTACTGGGTAGTATAGCTTAGGCAACTTGACACACAAAATTAATCACATCTAGTATATTTAAGTAGGCTGAGAGATGTATACCTGGACTAAATTGGCAGGAATACTAGAAAGAGACCACTTATAGTACAAGTAGATTAAATGAAGGAGAGCAAGGGGTTTGGTTGCAGCAGTTGTAGCTTTAAAATTTCATTTTATTTAACTTATTTAAAGAAAATAATAATTCGTTAGTGGCAAACTTCCCTTGATTTTATTGATATTGTTAAAATAATACATTCCAGGACCCCTTAAACAGATCAATCAAAGCCTTCTGTAGTGTTGATGACAGAGATGCTTCGGTGAGGAAGCTAGTGTAAAAATAACCCTAGCTTCCTGCTGGTTCCACTGCTGGGTGCTTAAGGGGAAAGCCAGATTTCAGCGTGAATGTGCTGCCATGGAACTCTATTTCTAGTTGTCAAGGCAGACGGTTTAGCATGTTCTTCCAACATCCTGGTAACTGAAAGGAAGAAGCTGAGAAGATTTACTGAAGGATTACTTAGAGAGCAAGTAATTCAAAACAGAACACAAAACTGAGGTATAAAAAATGAATATTTATCTTTTAAAAATACAACTTTGAACACTACTGACATCTCATTTACAAAGTATTTTCCTAAAATACTCCTCATCGGCTTTGCTTACTTAGTACATTCAGTTATTTTGAATCAAGACTCAAGGGAAGGCATGCTTGTGTTACATTACAAGCACCATCAACAGTACAAAAGATCATCTCTACCTCAGGATATTAGCCTCAAATCCTCATTCCTTCCCTTTTTCTTCCATTAAGAAGGGCCTTCTAACTGGTCCACTCACACTGCCATTGGAATCTGGAGGTGTCCCTGGCACTCCAGGTGGAGCTCACACACCCTTGCCCATTGTTTATTTATTACCAGGAGTTTTCTATTAATACTCATATCAACTCTTCGCAAACGTTCAGCATGAAGTAAACATAATATTTACGGCAGTACACGGTTAGCAATTCAATACACTGACAGCAGGAAAAAGGGACCAACAAATTTTGTAAGAAGGCCAGGGGGGAAATATATTAAAATAAATCCCTTTTGCTAATGTGTGTATGCACATGCACATGTGCACACATCTGTGTTTTAATTTTTAGAAAACTAAACATGCCCTCCTTTAAAAGCAGAGTATTTACAAGGTGATTCTGAATAGCACGTACACATGCCAGTCATACTGGACACTTGCATTCTGCACATATATCTACATTTTTTTTAAAATTCTGAAATAAACCTTTTATCTGATATATTAGATAAAATAAGTTTAGTACAGTTGTTAACTTCTGGTTCACAGTAATTTTGTAAAAGCCACAAATCATGCTTTGTCTTTTAAAAGGTGAACTTGGTCAAACACCTCCTAGAAGACACTGATGTGTTATTCACTTACTAGGGATTGGAAAGACGTCAGTTATGGAGTAGCTAGAGCTCCTCACATTCTTCTCACCAGTAGCAACACTAATGTGAAGAGAAACTTCGAAACACAAATCACACACAAATCATCAAAATATTTCAGTTAACAGTGTTTTTAAAAATACCAAAGTCTATTGACATTTTAGCACAGACACTGAAAACACCCCAAATACTCTTTAGCATCAGGCCTTTTTCAATACTACTAATAAAAACAAAGACAATCAATTGACAAAAAGGGAGGAAGTTACAGCACTTAAGGTTTGAGTCTATTGTTTTTAGGGCCTGTAGCTCAAGGTGCTGCTCTAGGATCCTTATTATACATCAAAATAGATTCCAGGAATGAACTGAACAATTTAAATCAATTTCCACTTGAAAACCATTGAAAATAGAAATCACTTTCTAAGCTTGTCCAACACACATTTATTTTCAGGATCCCAGGTTGTTAGGGAGATGGATTCAGGTCAGTTTCAAGCCCTCAAAGCCACAGAATTTCCATCTCTTCTCCAGACTGGCTCCAACTCCAGTCATTTCTTGCTTGAAGGTATACTGAAGTCTGCTCATGAGACATTCCACATCACTGGTGCAGATCTGTGGGACAGAGAGGACATCTCCATTCAAAACCAGTTTCACCTTCCTAATCTGGCTCTTTTTCCTCCAACGTGATGTACTTTAGGATACTGATGCACACCTGTGTGTTAGGGGTGGATTTGACCTCTTTTCCCTCCTCCTGCATGCGTATATATTGGGTGAGTGGTTTCCAGATGGTACCTTTCATATATTGTGACCATTATACAGAATCCACTGAGCTTTCTTTTTGTTTATATATCACCGCTTTATTTAAGTAAAATTTACATACAATAAATTCACTTATTTGACATGTTGATGAGTTTTAGTAAATTTATTGCATAAATTTAGTAAATCTATTCAATTTTACAACCATCATAACAATTCAGTTTTAGAACATTCCATTACCTCAAAAAAGTTCCTTTGTGCCCCTTTGCATTTAATCCTCACTCCCAAACCCTGACTCAGATTTTTTCACTGTGGTTTTGCATTTTATGAAAATTTCATACATGTATAATCATACAACATATAGTCTTTTGTCACTCATTTCTTTGCTTAGAATGCTGTTTTTGAGATTGATCGCCACTGAGGCTTCTTTCTTTTTAATGAGATTTATTTATCATTCATTTTTATAACAATAAAATGTATTAAAATACTATTAATTATATAAGCATTGTAAATTTAATTTTTCAATTACAGTTTACACATTATTTTGTTATTTTCAGGTGTACAGAATAATGGTGAGACAATCATATACTTCACAAAGTGATCTTCTTGATACTTCCAGTATCCACCTGGCACCATACTTAATTATCACAGTACTATTGACTATATTCCCTATGCTGATTATTCTGTAACTATCAATTATTATTTCTTAATCCCTTCACCTATTTTGACAAGTTGCCCACCCCTTTCCCCTCTGAAATTCAGCAATCTGTCCTCTGCTGTCCACATGCATTTATGAGTGTGTTTCTGTTTATTTATTTTGTTCTTTAGATTCCACATAAAGTGAAATCATATGGTATTTGGCTTTCTATATCTAACTTCAATTAGCATAATATCCTTTATGTCCATCCATGCTGTTGCATGTGGTAAGAATTCATTGTTTTTAATTCTTACCCAAGGATATGTTTATTGATTTTAGAGAGAGAGGAAGGACAGAAAGAGCGTGAAGAAGGAGAGAAAGAGAGACAGACAGACACACATCGATTTAAGAGAGAATTGTCAATTGGTTGCTGTACTGATACATGCTATGACTGGGGATCAAATCCACAACCCAGGTATGTGTCCTGACCAGAAATTGAATCCACAATATTTTGGTATACAGGATGACACTCTAACCAACTGAGCCACCCGGCAAGGGAAATAATTCTTTCTTTTTTATGGCATAGTTGTATTCCATTGTGTAAATGTATGTTAGTTGTTTTACCCACTCATCTACTGATGGACACTTGGGCTGCTTCCATATCTTGGCTATTGTAAATAATGCTTCACTGAATAGAGGGGTGCATATATTCTTTCTGATTAGTGTTTTGGGATTCTTTGGATATATTTCCAGAAGTGGAATTGCTGGGTCATACAGCAGTACCATTTTAAATTTTTTTCAGGAACTTCCAAACTGTTTTCCACCTCTGAGTTTTCTATTGGAAAGAGCCAATATCAATCATGCGGAGAGGCTTGGGTTTGTTGCCAGCTGAATGGTACTGGATCAGCACTGGTGATGCTACGTGTAGACTTACTGAATCTGCAAAGCCTTTTGGAAAGGGAGTAAGGCAGAAATGCCTGCCACCAGACCAGAATTCTTCACATATTCATTAGTTCACAAAGGAAAAGTAATGGGTGTGCGGGATGCTCTGAGTTCCTACTTCTGTGCATTGCCTCTCTCTCTCTCTCTCTCTCTCTCTCACACACACACACACACGTGCATGTGCACACAGAGGTTTTGTATTCACTCACATAATCTGTGGATCCCTTTGAGGATTGCTTCAGGTGGTCATCTTTATGTTAGTAACAACCTTTGTAACTGTGAACCTGGGCACTAAGGCTTGACAGAAGAGCACTGGGGAATCATTATAGGAACCCTGGATTGCCACCACACTGAATATTCCTCCTCACTTCTGTTGGTGCCACTGTAGGCTCTCTTTGGGAGGTCCTGGCACTACTCTGGCAGGAAACTGGGCCTGGTCAAGGAGGAAGATCAAGCTTTCTTCCTGGTACTAGTAGTAAGACTGTATTCCAGTTAAATGAAATCACATTGCAGAGTATGATATAGAGTTGAATCCTCACTTCAAATAATATAACTATACAATGTTTACTGATATATACATATGATATAGGTGCAGCATAGGTATAGAAGAGGATCTGAAATAAAGATATGCTAAACTGTCTATGGTGGTTATGACTGAGGGTTGGGAATTGTAAGTAACTTCCCCTTTACCATATTTCCATATGACTTACATGTTTAGACAATATGTATGCACTATCTTTACAATTTTAAAAAGAACCAGATCCTTTTTACTGATATATAGTTCAATTTTATACCACTTCAACTGTCCACTTGATCCTGGTGCTCACATTCCATTCTTCCTTTCACTGCTAAATGGGCCATTTAATTGCAGAATAGCATCATTTCCCACAGATAAATGAGGAAGTGCCAACTAGAATGGAAACAAATGCCATGAGGGGAATGCATCATGATAGCTGGATTCCCAAATGGGCCAGTACTTCTGTTGAAAGGACTTATGTTTGAATGGCTTAACATTTTGGAAACCAACTGCACGAGTGGCAATAGCACTTCTCAAATGGCCAAGATTCTGTGAAATAGTGAGTACAATCCATGAGCAGGTTTAATGAATGCTGCTTCTGAAAAAAAAAATCTATCATGAGTTTATTTATACTAAAGAGTCAAGAGTTCTTCCTTGAATGAGGCATCTTTGACTTTGTAGGGAACCAGCACTTACCCTTGCTCCTGATGCTTTGCGAGTTTCTCCACAGGATATAATCCAGGGAAGGAGGAGGACCATGAGATCAGCTGTGAGCAAATACTCAGTCTGTGTTACAGACTTATTGTTCTATCTTTTTCTTTTGCCACTGCCTTGATTGTTTCATCATAGATAATGGCCATGGTGATGGTGATGGTGGTTGAGGAGGGGGTTGGAGTAGAACTTTTCAATTTGGAAAAATAACATTTGTTAATTGTTAAAGGCCCAGGGCAAGAGATTGGTTTGTGTAAAATATTGGTTAATTTATATGTAAAATAAGAGAAATGAGGGAAATTCTTCTAAGATATATCTTGGAACTAGGGTAGCCAACTCATTCAGGTTTGCCCAGGACTTCCCTGGTTTTTGCACTGGAAGTCCCAAGTCCCAGGAAACCCCTCAGTACCATGCAAATGGTGACAGATAGTCATCATACTTGCAAGAGAAAGGCTCTACACTGAGACACAGTGGAAGAATAGGTGAGGGACATTTCCTTAGAGCAATTACTAATGAGTTATCTATGCTGGAGGAGAGTAAGGTCACTTGTTCACAAAGAATCCTATTTCCCATTTCAGGTGCCCACATACCTTATTATCTAGACGGTGCAAGTAGGAACAGATATATTCAATGCTTGCTCCAAATGGATGGACATGAAGAAAGGTGGAGATAATCCCTGTAGAGAAAATACCATGGAGGTTACACTTGAGAAATGCATTCTTTGAGATGCCACATGATAAAGTATATCAAAAGCTAACTCATTATGTACAGCATACAATGTACTAGGCACTATTCTAAGTTTCCTTATTCAATACTTACAACAACCTTGTGAAGTAAGTATTACCATGCCTATTCACAGATGAGGAGACACTGAGGCACAGAAAATTTAAGCCACTTGTCCAAGGTCACACAAGTGCTAAGTGGCAGGGCCCAGACAATTTGAACCCAGACAATCACTCTTAACATACTGTCTCTCACTACACTATATAACATGTAGAAAAGCTGTCATTTGAGGAAAGGGGGTTCTGGGAAGGGGGGGGGCAATGAGGGAAAAATTGGGACAACTGTAATAGCATAAGCAAAAAAATACATAAAAGAAAAAAAAGAAAAGCTGGCATTTGTGGAGTCATTTCCATCATTTTTGACAGCTAAAGATGATCTGAGTTCTACATTTTACAATGAATTTAGAAATTTACAATGAATTTAGATTGTGCTGGTATTTTACACTTCCTCTGCATAGTCTTTAAATTGGATTTTAGCCTCTTTTGCATTAATAATGTCCTGTTGTGGTGGTAAAAGTACAAATCATGTACTTTGCCTGATTAACCTTGTGCTGCTCATGGGAGGATTTGCTGATTGTATTTGAGTTTTACTCTGTGAGCATCTCTGTAAAGAATAACCAGACTTTTTTTTTTTTTTTTTTTTTTTTTTACTTAACTGGTCACTAGCCTTTCGTTTGTGCTCAGAGTCCTGAATCTCTTCAAGTAACAGAATTCTCATCACAGTTTATAGCTTCTGGGAATGGTCATAATTTCTACTCAGCACAGCTATGGCGTGATTGGCAGCTGCACATACTGCCTTGATTGTTCTGGCCATCAGATTAATTATTCTAATATTTCTTTTGTTCAAAAGTCTACTAGTAATTTCCTGACATTTTTTAATTCACCTTCTTTCATAAGATCTTAGGTACCTCAAATTGACCTAGAATTGAGTTTGCTGAAAACTAACAGGGAATAAAAGCTAGATGTGATTTAGGTCATAAATTATAACTTATCTGTCCCCTTCAGTGACTGACAAAGAATATCACAAGTTTAAACTGTAGCTTGAAGTTCAACAGTTCTTTGTTATACGGCAAGGGTTATGGTAAGCTGGGGGATCCAGGAGGAACTGAGGGTAGGGACCAAAATCTGTTCAAAATGTATGTTATTACTTATAACACTCCTTTATTATTAAATGATGAGGCAAATTGAATTTCTGAACACTGAATCAAGCTGAGAAACTTAAATCTATAGAAGACAGTTCATGTTCAAAGGAATTCTACACCCTTTGGTCAAGATAAGCTGTCAAATGCCAAGAAACAACTCTATAGGTTTCAAAACACTAAGCAGTTTTTGTGGGTTCATACCCAAAGAACCAATTAAAAAAAACCCCAGATTTTCCATTCTCCCTGTCAGCCCAAGACTACTTTCTTTAGAAAAAACAAAACAAAAAGCACATATCTTAAGCATCTTTGTTTCTAGAATTATCCATTTACAAAAGCTTCCTCCTACCCTCAGCTCTTCTCAGACAGGTCTCCCGGTTGCCAATTTGTTAAATAACTTTGAGTTGGAAAATGGAAATAAGTTGCCAATTTTCTTGAAGATTCAATGTCAGATTCCTTTTTTGCATCTTATATTAACATATCAAACTGTTAAATCTGAGTACAATATCTATTACCAAAGGAGGCAGATATATTATAAAAATATGCATAAGCTGATCAGTGTGGAGAACTTTTGAGATGGGGTGGGGTTACTGTTTGGCTCAGCTTCCTAGAAGGCAGCTAGGATTATCTGCTGAGGTCAGCTCCTTTTAAATGACAAAATATTTTGGGATCTCAATCTGCCACTGTTCTCCAAATGAAATATAAGTTCAACAAGCATTTGTGAATAGTGCTGTAAGTGTGAAATGGTTCACATTTACTGAGGTCTTAATATGGGCTAGGCACTGTGTAAAGTGATTTAGATGAATTATTGTGTTTAATACGCACAGCTGCCCTTTGAAATGGGTAATAATATACCCATGTTGCAGAGGGAAGAACTAAAGCTCACAATAGAAGCTGGAAATGGTGGGGAAGAGACAGTAATGAAGGGATGTAAAAAATATTCAAGGAAATGGACAGGAAAAAAAAAGCCAGGGTAGCAATATCTTTATCAGACAAAATAGATTTCAAAACAAAGGCCATAAAAAAACACAGAAGGACACTTCATAATACTCAAAGGAACAATTCATCAAGAAAATATACACACTATAAACCATATGCACCCAACATAAGAACACCCAAGTATATAAGGAAAATCTTGGAGGACTTCAAGAAAGATATAGACAACAACACACTGATAGTAGGGGATTTTAACACCCCACTCTCCACAATGGAGAGATCTTCCAAACAAAATATCAACAAGGATATTGTGGAAGTGAATGATGCATTAGATCAAAGGGAATAAATGACATATAGAGAACCTTTCATCTCAAAGAAGTAAACACTCATTCTTTTCAAATGCACATGCAACATTTTCAAAGATAGACCACATGATAGGACACAAAAGAAGCCTCGACAAAATCAAGAAAATTGAAATCATAGTGAGCATTTTCTCAGACCACAAGGGCTTGAAACCAAAAACCAAACTCAAGGAAAAAAATCAAAAACATTCAAACTCATGGAGACTGAACAGTATGCTATTAAACCATGAATGGGTCAATAATGAGATAAGAGAAGAAATCAAAAAGTTTCTGGAAACAAATGAAATTGAACACATAACAGTCCAGAACCTATGGGACACAGCAAAGGCAGTCCTGAAAGGGAAGTTCATAGCAATACAGGCCTACCTAAAAAAGATAGAAACATTTCAAATAAAAGACCTACCACTACACATTCAAGAACTGGAGAAACAACAACAAAAAAAGTCCAGAGCAAGTAGAAGGAAGGAAATAATCAACATCAGAGCAGAACTGAATGACACAGAGACTAAATAAACAATTTGAAGGATCAATAAATCCCGGAGCTGGTTCTTTGAAAAGATAAACAAAATTGACAAGCCTTTAAGCAGACTCATCAAGAAAAAAAGAGAGAGTACTCAAATAAAAAAGTATCAGAAATGAAAGAGGAGAAATACCAACTGATACCACAGAAATACAAAGAGGATTGTAAGGAATTACTATGAACAGTTATATGCCAAGAAATTTAAAACCTCAATGAAATAGACAAATTTCTAGAAAAATATAACTTTACAACACTGAATGAAGAAGCAGCAGAAAGCCTGAACAGACCAATAACTGCTGGGGAAATTGAAGCAGTAATCAAAAAACTCCCAGCACAAAAAAGCACTGGACTGCATAGTTTCACAGGAGAATTTTGAAAAACATTTAAGGAAGAGCTAACCTCTGTCCTCAAGTTATTCCAAAAAACACAAGAAGAGGGAAGACTCCCAAATTCTTTTTATGAGGCCAGCATCATCTTAATCCCCAAACCAGATAAAGACATAACAAAGAAAGAAAACTACAGGCCAATATTGCTGATGAACATAGACGCTAAAATCCTCAACAAAATATTGGCAAACTGCATCCAGCAATACAGTAAAAATATCATCTACCATGATCAAGTGGGATTCCTCCCAGGGATGCAGGGCTGGTTCAATATTTGCAAATTAATAAATGTAATACATCGCATAAAAAAAAGCAAAAACCACAGGATCATATTGATAGATGTGGAAAAAGCATTTGATAAGGTACAGCACGCATTTATGATCAAAACACTCAGCAAAGTGGGAGTAAAGAGGGCATTCCTCAACCTAGGAAAGGCCATATGTGAAGAACCAACAGGCAACATCATACTCAATGGGCAAAAACTAAAATCTTTCCTACTAAAATCGGGAACAAGATAAGGGTGTCTGCTTTCACAAGGGAGTCCGCTTTCACCACTTCTATTCAACATCGTATTGGAAGTCCTAGCCACAGTGATCAGACAAGAAGAAGAAATAAAAGCCATCCAAATTGGAAAGGAGGAAGTAAAACTGTCATTGTTTGCAGATGACATGACAGTGTACATAGAAAACCCCATAGAGTCCACCAAAAAACTACTTGACCTGATACGTGAATTTGGCAAAATAGCGGGATAAAAAGTCAATATTCAGAAATCAAAGGCATTTTTGTACACTAAGAATGAAATATCAGAATCAGAAATCAGGAAAAAATCTCATTTGCTATAGCAACAAAAACAAAAAATAAAGTATATAGGAATAAACTTAACCAAGGGGGTAAAAACCTGTATGCAGAAAACTGTATGACACTGAAGAAAGAAATTAAGGAAGGCACAAATAAATGAAAGCATACACTGTGTTCATGGATTGGAAGAATTACCATTATCAAAATGTCCGTACTACCCAAAGTAATTTATAGATTCAATGCAATCTCTATTGAAACACCAAGGATGTATTTCACAGACATAGAACAAACATTTCAAAAGTTTATATGGAACTGTAAACAACCCTGAATAGCTGCAGCAACTTTGAGAAAGAAGAACAAAATAGGAGGGATCACAATACCTGACATGAAGCTATATTACAAGGCCACTGTAATCAAAACAGTCTGGTACTGGCATAAGAACAGACACATTGATCAATAGAACTCAATAGAGAGCCCAGAAATAAACCCATGTCTCTATGGTCAATTGATATTGGCAGAGGGTGCAGAAGTATAAAATGGAGTAAAAATAGCCTCTTCAACAAATGGTGTTGGGAGACCTGGACAGCTACATGCAAAAAAATTGAAATTCAGCCTCCAGCTTACACCATACATAAAAATAAACTCAAGATGGATAAAAGACTTAAATATAAGTCTTAATACCATTAAAGTCCTAGAGGAGAGCACAGGCAGGAAACTCACAGACATCCCACGCAGCAATATTTTCACTGATATGTCCCCTAGAGCAAGGGACATAAAATAAAGTATAAACAAATGGGACTTCATCAAAATAAGAAGCTTCTGCACAGCTAAAGAAAATATCAGCAAAATGAAAAGGGAACCAATTGTATGGGAAAATATATTTGCCAGTTTAGCTTCCAAAATATAAAAAAAACTCACATGACTCCACTCCAGGAAGACAAACAATCCAATGAAAAAATGGGCAAGGACCTAAACAGACACTTCTCCAAGGAGGACATACACAGGGCCCAGAGATGTATGAGAAGGTGCTCAGCATCACTAGCTATCAGAGAAATGCAAATTAAAACGACAATGCATTACCACTTCACACAGGTCAGAATGGCCATCATAAACAAATCAGAAAGCAACAGGTGCTGGCGAGGTTGTGGAGGAAAGGGAACCCTAGTCCACTGTTGGTGGGAATGCAGACTGGTGCAGCCACTGTGGAAAAGAGGTTGGAATTTCCTCAAAAAGCTAAAAGTGGAAGTGTCTCTTGACCTGACAATTCCACTACTAGGATTATTCCCTCAGAATCCCAAAACACCAATTCAAAAGAACCCATGCACCCCAATGTTCATAGCAGCACAGTTTACAATTGCCAAGTGCTGGAAGCAACCTAAGTGCCCATCTGTAAATGAGTGGATTAAAAAACTATGGTACATTTACAGAATGGAATACTACACAGGTGAAAGAAAGAGCTATTACCCTTTGTAACAGCATGGGTGGAACTGGAGAGCATTATGCTAAGTGAAATAAGCCAGGGGGTGAAAGACAAGTACCACAGGATCTCTCCTATAAGTGGAACCTAATCAACATAATAAGCAAGTAAGCAAAATATAACCAACAGCATTGAAAAAAAAAGAAACTGACAGTAAGGAGGGGGAAGGAGGGAAGGGGGTGACAGGGAAAAGAAGGGGAAGGGTCAAATCAAGGATCATGTATAAAGGACCCATGGACAAAAACAAAGTGGGGAAGGACTGATGGTGGTGGGCGGGGGGTGGGTGGGGCAGGGGAAAGTGATGGCGGGAGATTGAGACAAACGCGTTTGAACAATAAAAAATAAAGACTGGAACCCGGTCTGTCTGATTCTTAACCATTTATGCTATGTTGCCTCTGTGAATGAATTTCTATATAATGAGAGTAATTTTAGCATTTATTTCATCAGAGGCCACCAGTTTCTAACACTTACAGACAACCTTCTGGGTCATCTGCCACTAACCTGGAAAACTTGAGAGACACACACTTCCTGCTGAGGCTGATCTGGAAGAGCTCTCTGCCAGTGTCTGCACTGTCTCTTGAATGGGACTGAGAAAGGCGCAGCTAGTCTTGCACAGAAATTTTAAAAATCTACAATGTATTTCTCTATTGTACCATTCTTAGCATAGTCCTTAAACTGTCACAATTGATGTGGCAGTGGCTACAGGGGGCTTGAAGTGAGTAGGGAGATGCTGTTACTATTTTTATTGAAATCTGTATTTATTCTTATCCTGTCGTCTTCAGGATTCCGAGTCCTTGCAGTGTCATGCTTCGTAAATGCTTGGTATGTGCTTAGTCATCTTAGGCAAACCCATTCTCCTCTGCACTGCACTCTATACATTGTATGTATTTGTTAGCTTCCTTACCCACTAGCAGTGCTTCACGTTCAGATTTGATAGGACTGTTGTTCAGGGTCTTCTCAAGAGGGCAGTCACTATCCTGGCTCGATGCACACAGTCTAGAAGCACAGTTTTCCTGTGGGAATAATATGCTTCCTGGGTCAGTCCACCTTAATTGACAACAGGCTTGGTTTCAATTATACAAAAGGGAACACTAAAAGCAATACTGTCCAATATGTCATTGAATGGGAGGAGGAAAACTATGAATTATAAAAGTATCCCACATAATCCAAAGCTTCTTTATGCTATGGATTCAAAACACAGAAAAAATAGACATTTATCTTCATCAGTTTTAGTTTCCTGCCTTCATCATTCTTGACTCTATACCAGTAATCTGGAGGCCCAGACCTTATATTTACTATTTTCTAGATGTCAGGCATTGTTCTACAGATGAGAAAAGTGAGGCTCAGATAAATTCGGTGAATTGCCCAGGATCAAATTGCTAGGAAGTGTTAGAACCTGGATTTCATCCCAAGCCATCCACTGTTAAAAAGACCATCCTTTTTTTTTTTTTAGGTCCACATTCTGCTAAAGGCCAAGTCCCATTTCTGAATGTACAAGTTAGCTAATCCATTTGTAGGTAATCAACTTTTAACTTCTGAACTAAAAATTAACATCTCTATTGACTATCAACTTTCTCTCTCTTCTCTCTGATAAGGACGTCACCAGTTAGGATATTCCAGACTTTACAGCAAGAAATGGCCATGATCAAAAATACCATTACTTAGTGGCCTTCTGTGTTGCAAGTTTTCTCTTTCTGAGCATAGCAGGCATGTTTCATAAAAGATTAGGGAAATCCATGACCTGAGTATCGAATTGAATCAAATAAAAAAATACCTCCAGACCTTTCATGGATCTTTCTTTCCCTCTTTGGATACTAACAACATATTTTCCATATTATAAATGTGCAGGAAAAGCCTTTAGAAGGAATAAATGAAATCATTGCTTTGGTCTCACTGCTATTGTATAAGAAAATGCTGGGGATATGCTCTTGGCAGGGCACATCATGTCTGACTCATATGTTTTGTCACTTCTTCCCTTCCACAAACCCTCAGCAGGGACAGATTTCCTTCTGTTTTCTTTAAATATGTCTTCAAAGCTTCCAGTATGCTGCACCTGAACAAAACAAATGGTCTATGCTGCCATACGTGTTTTCTGAATGTACAGGCTTCCTGGCTGTAGTCAGAAGGGAAACCTTTATTGATAATCTACTCAATCCTTGGCCTTTAGAATTCAATCCAGGAAGTAACTATCATGCCAAGTTTGATTTAGGCCACTGGCTTACCTTCTAAACCATGGGCTGCAAATCTGCTTCTAACCTCCTTAAAACATTAAATTATCTATTAAGCCATTTCTTAAGTATGAGAGTTTAACAGACTTGGGGTGATTTAAGATGTGAAGACATCCTGATAAGTTTTAGCCATCCTGAATAGAAATGTAGCCTTATTGAAACTTGACTTCAGTTTTATATAGCTGGCATTTAAAAAATTAGAAGGTATATTGAAGGGATGCTTATCACCTTGAATTTTACTAGCAGATTGAAAGAACTAGTTCTTTCTGTAGTAAGGCAGATATAAGTCACCCTGCAAAACGCTGACAATAAATCACACTGTGGTTTACTGTCAAGAAACCCAAACAAAAACAAAAAAGATTCCTCCTTCCTGAAAAGTATTGCTTTCCTTTCAAACTAAAATTACTTTTGCAGTCTAATGTGATGGTACTTTGCTTCCTAACATAACTGTGTCAGGTTGAAATATTTTCTAACAAATCAGCTTCCCAGAGAAGATAAGTTTATAATGAACTGTCATGACTTTTTCTGAAAGCTTTGCTTAAAATCCCAGAAAAAAAACCATATTCTGACTCACATTTTCCTGACTATCATTTGGATCTCTTTCCTTGTCCTCTTTAGTTGGTATGTCATGGTATATTCAGTTTCTGAATGGGAAACACTTAGACTTAGGCACAATATGGCAAGTTTCTTCCATATACATCATTTGACCTCTTGCTTCTTTAAATTAAATACTTTATAAAGCAGAAAGCTGCTTACACTAAAGCACTAAAAAAGGCCTTACACTAAAAATGCCCTCAAGTCAATTTTTGATGTCGATCCTAAAGGGTATTTTTAAGCGTAATGTCTTTAGCATAATCCCATGTCTATTTATAGTGTTCCGGCTACACATTCCATTTTAAGCAAGAAGTGAAATAGCTAATGTAGCAGTTCTGGGACATTTCAGAAGCTCTGATAGTTCAAGGAAAGTCCTGATAAATAAAGCAGCCTTGGCGCTTTTCAATTAAAAGCTTGATAAATGAATTTCTCTGGTATTATGCTTGTTTCTTTAATAGCACCCACAAAACTGGAAAGTAAGTTGGTTTTATGGAGTGGAAGAATTAAAAGCATATTGCAAACGGTCTCTAGAAGAAAATACTTTCAATCATTTGTTTTAACTACACCAAGGTTGCCAGTTCTTAATGGGACTCTGGGGGAAGTCACTATGTTGGCACATGCAACCAGTGTGCCTGTATGCATTACATCTTCCTGAGCTGAGCACATAAGATAAAGAGCATGAGCTCTTGTGGAACTGTAGCATTCTTGATTTCTGGTTCTTGTTCTAAGATACTAATCTTCTCTTCCTTCTGAGACATTAAAATCAGGCAGTTTCAGATAATGGATCTTCCTTTTCAGAGAATAACTTCGGTTGAATGTTTAGGCATAAAAGAAATTAGAGAGTTATGCTGGAGACACCACCAGCAGACTTTATGCATCCTTAAATAGACCAGACACCCTATTCATGGTTGTGATACAATAATCCATTCAGATGTTAGTAGACTCTCTTAGAGGTCCTCACTGATGTTTCTTAACGCTATAGGTTCTAATTAGGCCAAGTCCCATCTTAGCCTTCTTGATTGCTACCATGTAGCTTTAGAATATTCTTTGTTTTTCAAGGTTTCTCCTTTTTTGGTTTTGGACATGTTACCTGCAACTGCTATTCCACAAAGAAATGTTAATGTTCTAGTTGCTTTGTGTTTCTACCTTTAATGAAATGCTTAATTAAAGGTATTCTGTGTCACAGGAGTTTTCTATGTTGTTATTTGCTTGACAATATGAAGTGTGCACTCAAGTCTTGAGAAGATGGGGTATACACTCTGGCTTTTTCCAAGAGGGAAGGCTGAGAAATTTTAGGGATGTACTGATTTTTTATTCATTGAAAAGTGCACTCTCTAGAAAGAACCCTTAGAAATGCAAAGGACTCACAATTAAAAGCAGAGTCCTTGATTCAAGAATTACCCTGGAGGTGGGGCTTTTAAATCCCCAGTCAGTCAAACATTCCAAACATTCTCCCTATTGCAGCAACTTCCTGAGCATTTTCACTGTCACTGAAAAGGGGGGAATGAAGTAAGGGAAAAGGTTCACTTAGGACTCATGTACCTTTTCTTTAAGATTTTCCAACATTTTTTCCACCTGCAACTTGTCATCTTTGATTTTTTCAAGTTCAGCTTCTTTCCTTTTGTATTCCTCTTGGACTTTGAGTAGATGCTACAAGAAAGACCAAAGGCAATCAAGTCTTAAGGAGCCACAGTTCAATTAAAAACCTTGGCTGAAATTAGATATTAGGCTGGCCTGCCTCACTTTACCCTAGCACACATAATCATTTCTTCATGCAAAAATATTAATGGAAAAATCAAGAAACTTTTCACTTAAAATTATTTTTATTTGACTCTTCCTTTGTATTTGTTCATACTTTTGAAAGAGTCTGAAAAGATGACTGATCTAATTGTAATAGGGCACAGCCAGGGTCCCCCCAAAGGGTATTTGTAATGGGGTCCAGAGATTGGGATGTCCAAGAAAAATATATTCTCCCACCCCAGGGCAGGCTTCCATGGGGGATGGGAGCCTTGAGCAGGGCCATTGAGAGTCATTTTGTATGTCAATAACAAGATAGCTTCATTCCTCATATGCAAGAGGGTTATTTTGCATATCACCAAAGCTAATCAGGAAGGTTTCAAAGACTTAATACAGAATGTTACTGGGAGAGGAGGAGAAGGAGAGATAGGGGACTGCAGGAGACACAAAGGGACACAGACTCTGGGGAACAGTGTGAAGACCACGCGGGAAGAAAGGGGAGAGAAAGGACTCTTGCTAGTGGGCCATGAGAAGGTGCCACATGGTTATGGATTAAGAGCCGGAGATCGCCGCGACTCAGTGGATGGTGCTGAGACCTGCGAGAGGCCTGCCCAACCGAGCCCCGGACTTCTGTTTTTTTTTCTTCTGAAGGACGGCACCCTGATTGGCCTGACTGGCCTACCTGGGCAAAGGGGGAAGGCAGGACGGTGTGTGTGCTGGTGATTGTTTTGAAGGGATTTTGAGGTTTAAGGGTGACATTTAGCCATTAATCAAACCTGTATAACTTTTGAATCAATAGTTTCTTTTCCTTTTCACCAAACTCTGTCATTCAGAGCCATAATTCCAAGGGTGGCGGGCAAAGGACCCACAACCGAGGGGTCCCGGGGAAGGAGGGTGTCGTTTCGGTAACAGCATCTGGGCATCCCCCCATCCACAGGTCCTTTTGTTCAGTACCATAATCACTTAATTTTCCTATTCCAAGGTAAGGATAGAGTGCAGTTAATACCATGTGGACAATATCTTGATTGCTGCATAAAACTTAATGTTATAAAGCATCCTTGTAAATAGCCATTTTCTAAGCCAAATTTGATTTCTTTGAGGAAAGTAGTAAAGAATCCAAATTTTCACAAATGTTAGTTTCCATAACAATAGGTAAGAAACTAGATTTATCATTATTTATGATTTCAACAGATACTATTAGCATCTAATATGTGCCAAGCATTGGGCAAAGGGTTTCATATGCATAATCTCCTTTAAGCCTCACAGTAATCCCATGATACATAATCCTGAGGTTTAGAGAGGTTTAGTGGTTTGCCTAAGGTCATTCAGTGGCAGAGCTAGGATTTAGACCTGGATTGCATCAACCCCATAGTCCATGCTTGTAACCACCGTAGTAGACTATACATCTTTTGGGGATAATATGGGAGAAATTTTGTCATTGTTTATAAGGCATTTTTTTCCAATAAAAATAATCAAACTGAGTAAATTAATTTTTCAGAGGGTACAGACCAAATTGTCTCAATGAAGTCTTTGAAGTAATGAAATGGAAAAAAATAGTTTACCACTTTTTAATTGCATTTAAATTGAAGAACTGACCTTAAGTAGAATGGTTTCAAAATCAAGGTTAAGAGGGGAAAATGACAAGAAAATGTTTCCATAATTTTGCTTTTCAGAGACCTGCAAAAGGCCATTGGAAGGACTAAAAGACACAGTACAACGTACACTGTCAAAATTCTTTGAACTCTAGTTGAGGCGATACAATTTTTGGTGTGAAGATTTCTGATGTAATTTACTTGTTCTAATTAAACTCCATGGTGACAGTGAAAGAAAAGTAAGCATTACTTCATACTTTTTGCTAACAGGAAAGGTGAAATATTAATATGATATTGCTTGTCACACAGGAAGACAATGGTAACATAAGTAATAGGAATATGGGGCTCTTAGTGCAAGCAATAAGCTTTGCTCTAAAAAATCCAAGGCATACAATTTAAAAAATATTACGCAATTTAAATTGTAAGGAAAATGGCCAGTAGTCTAGCAAGACAGAAGAAGATAGTACAGTTGCTCAGAAGTATTACTCCTTTACTATAACGAGAACAGCTATTGATATATATATTAAATTCTAGGCTCACTGTGGTGATGGTTACGTGAAACTTTTAAGATATTGGACACCCATTACACAATGTTGTTTATGCAATGACAGTTAGAGGCACTTACTTACTTTATTTTTTATACTTGGAAAAATGTTCAGGTAAACTGACTCACATAAATGACTGTGATAACAAAATAAAAGCAAAATGGTACTATATGCCCACAGCATTGACACTTAAAAACCCATAACACCCCTGATTCTATCCAAATCAAGGGTAGGATTCCTGCCTTTCCTTCTAAAAGGCTGTATTATTCAGCATTGTATTGACTAGATACTGGCACTTTTTCATATATAAGTACCTGTGGTTATTCATAAGAACCCTGAGGCTCTGTCCAGATCCCAAAGTAGATTATGTTCAGTGTAGTTTTATTAAGTATTTTTCACTGAACACTCACTCTCTGAAAAATGGTGATCCATTGCTATCACTCTATTAACAAGAATATTTCATTTATAACAACACATAATCCCCTCCTCATCTATGCCAGATAACAGAACATAAAGAAGAACAAGAGGTTTGCTATTCTATTTGCTTGCAGGGGACCCTTTTATATGTGAGGAGTTGATGTTATACTTTCACAAAGCTCAGAAAATTAAAATGCCTTTACCTGTTGCATTCCTTGCAAGGCTTGTTGCAGGAGTTTTAACTGCTGTTCCTTATTTGGGTCATCTTCTCTGTGGGCTTTGCCTTGTTCTTGTTTGAGTAGTTCTACTTCATTCCTATAGGCATCAAGCTGCCAACGGAGGCTGTCATTTTCTTCCTTCAGAGCTTCTGCCTGTGATACTAAGGCTAAACAATATAAAGTAGTGAAACCATATATCCAGATTCCTTTGTGCTTCCTTTTATTACCAAGAAAACTTAGTGTTTTAAACTGACATGTATATGTATTAGAGAATCCCAAAGATTCCACCAAGAAACTACTAGAACTGATAAATGACTTCAGTAAAATAGCGGGATACAAAATTAATATCCAGAAATCAGTTGCATTTTTATATGCCAATAATGAACTATCAGAAAGGGAATGAAAAAAAAATCCCATTCACAATTGCTTCAAAAAGAATACAATACCTAGGAATAAATCTAGTCAAGGATGTAAAAGACCTGTACTCAGAAAATTATAAGACACTGAAGAAAGAAATTGAAGAAGACACAAATAAGTGGAGGCACAAACCACATTCATAATAGAAAGAATTAACAGCATTAAAATGTCCATATTATCCAAAGCAATCTATAGATTCAACTCAATTTCTATCTAGATACCAATGACGTATTTCACAGAACTAGACAAAATGTTTAAAAATTTTATATGGAACCACAGAAGACCCTGAATAGTAACAGCAATCCTGAGAAAGAAGAAAAAAGTTGGAGGAATAATGCTACCTGATATCAAACTATATTATAAGGCCATAGTAATCCAAATAGCAAAGCACTGGCAGAAAAACAGACAAGGATCAATGGAACAGAAGAGAGGACGCAGAAATAAACCCAGAACTTTATAGTCAATTCATATCCAACAGAGGAAGCAAGCACATACAATGGGCTAAAGAGAGTTTATTCAATGAATTATGTTGGGAAAATTGGACAGATACATGCAGAAAAATGAAACAAGGTCATCTTCTTATGTCACACACAAGAATAAATTCAAAATGGACTAAAGACTTAAATGTAAGACTTTAAGCCATCAAAATCCTAGAAGAAAACATAGGCAGTAAAATCTCAGACATTGCTTGCAGAAACATTTTATCTATCTCCTCAGGCAAGGGAAACAGAAGAAAAAAATAAACAAATGGGACTATATCAAACTAAAAAGTTTTTGCACAGCAAAGGAAAACATCAACAAAATAAAAAGACAACCCAAGAATGGGAGAAAATATTCACTGATACATCTGATAATTTGTAAACAACTCATGCAACTCAACACCAAAAAACCCCCAAACAATCCAATTTAAAAATGGGCAAAGGACTTGAAAAGACACTTCACCAAGAAGGACATACAGATGGACGATAGGCACATGAAAAGACGCTTAATGTCACTAACCACCAGACATATGCAAATTAAAACCACAATGAGATACCATTTCACACCTGTCTGAATGGCCATCATCAATAAATCAACAAACAAGTGGTGGTGAGGATGGTGAGAAAGGGGAACTTTTTTGTGCTGTTGGTAGGAATGCATGCTGGTGCAGCCACTGTGGAATGCAGTATAGAGATACCTCAAAAAATTAAAAATAGAAATGCCTTTTGACCCAGCAATCCTACGTTTGGGACTATATCTAAAGAAACCCGAAACACTAATTCAAAAGCACATAAGCACCACTTTGTTCGTTGTAGCGTTTTTTATAATGGCTAAGGTATGGTAGCAGTCCAAGTGTCCATCAATAGATGAGTAGATAAAACAACTATGGGACATTTACACAATGCAATACTACTTGGCTGTAAAGAAGAAGAAAACTTTACCCTTTGTGACAGTGTGGTTGGACCTGGAGAACATTAAGCTAAGCCAGTCAGAGAAAGACAATTACAACTTGATTTCACTCATATAGGCAATCTAATGAAGAAATTGAATGAACGAGCTAAATAAAGACAGACTTGTAGATGGAGAACAGGTGATAGCTATGGGGGCAGTGAAGGGGTGGAGGAATTGAGCAGAAAGGAAAAAGGACTCATGGACATGGACAACAGTGTGGTGATTTTGGGGGGCAGGGGAAGGGGCTATAAGGGCAACAAGTGGCAATGTAATAAAATTTAAGAAAATAAAAAAGGGAAAAATAAATTGACATGTATAAAAAGCCTCTCAAAGAGAAACTTTAGGTTCTAGTTGGCCATGGCAGCAAGGGATGGACACAAAAGCACAGGCCCATTTTTATAAATTAACAGAGGACTTCAGCACATGAAAATCATCATCATACTTCATATTCTTCACCCCAAATATAACTAAGATGTTTATAGGTAACGTCAGTTACTTTTCTTTGAATAGCAGCAAATTATATGAGCCCTGTAATAAAAAAAAATATAGAGCTAATTTTCTTGAACTGATGACTGTCCACACAATATTTTTGTTGACAGTTGTTTTTAAAATATGTAGCCTTGATTTGCGGAGAGAATGGAGACAGTAGCTGGCAGGATCCCAGTGCGGACTCCTCCCCCATACTGCAACAGCGTGAGTGGACCCAATAACCCTGCCCCCAGGAGGGACTCCACCACGCCCTGAGCTGTCTAAGGCGGCCTGCTGAATGCAGAGTGAATAGATTAACAGCTGAAGGAGACAGCCATAAGCAGTAGATTACTAGAAGTCTGGAACAGACTGCCTAAGGTCAGACAGGGTCAACATCTGACATCATCAGAGGCAGATCCAGAAAGTAAAAACAGAGGTCTCCAACCATAGAAGTTCACACCACAAAGTCAGGAGATCAAGACAGATCAACTTAAGAAGAAGCAGGAAAAGAGAAGAGTCTCACAAATAATGGGAACACAGAGAAATATGCCCCACTCGAAGGGAAAGGAGCAATCCTGAGAAAGGAAACTAAATGAAATAGAGTCAAGTAAATTATCAGATATTGAGTTCCAAACAACGGTTCTAAGGAAGCTCAATGAGCTCAGTGAGCTCAGAGAGAATTAAAAAAAACTACATGGAAACTATAAGGAACTAACTGCAAACTATATCAACATGAAAAAGGACACAGAAACGATCACTAAGACACAAGACGAAATGAAGAATACAATTTCTGAATTGAAGAACACAGTAGAAGGAATCAAAAGCAGGCTAGAGGAAACTGAGGACCAAATCAGTGAGCTGGAGGATAAGGTAGAAAAAAGCTCCCAGAAAGAGCAAGAAAATGAAAAAAGACTCAAAAAGAATGAAGAGGCATTAAGGGAAATGCAGGACAACCTAAAATGTAATAATATCCATATAATAGGGATACCAGAAGGAGAAGAGGACGAGGAAGGGATAGAGAACCTGTTTGAAAAAGTAATGATGGAAAACTTCCCCAATTGGAGGAGAGAAAGGGTCTCATGGATCCAGGAGGCACAGAGGGTCCCATTCAAGAGGAACCCAATGAAGCCCATTCAAAGACACATCATCATTGAAATAGCAAATATCAAAGACAAACAGAGCATCCTAAAGCAAGCAAGGGAGAAAGAGGTAGTAACATATAAGGGAGCCCAAATATGGCTAGCAGCTGACTTCTCAACAGAAACACTGAAAGCCAGAAGGGAGTGGCAAGAAATATTCCAAGTAATGAAAAGCAAAGGCCTGCAACCAAGACTGCTCTACCCAGCAAGGCTCTCAGTCAAAATGGAAGGCAAAATAAGGAGTTTCCCAGACAAAAGAAGGCTGAAAGAATACACCTCCACCAAACCAGCACTGCAAAATATGCTAAGGGGACTGCTTTAACATGAAGAAAAAGTTCTATGAATACCCAGTTTCTTTCAGAGTTGTCAATACTTGATATTACCAATATTTTTAATACTCAATAATCGGATTGTGACAATGATGTAATTTTAATTGTTCATTTACTCTTTGTTGAAACTAAACCTGTTTTTGTATATTTCTTGCCTATTTCTATTATTTTTAAAGAAAGCTTTAAATGACATTTTGGTATTCTTCATCTATTTATTGATTAAAAGTTTGTAGAACTTTTTTCCTTAAAAAACAAAAGAAAACAAAATAACCTATTAACCATGTTTTAGATGTGTTGTGAATACTTTCCTATTGTATTCCTTGTCCTTTAACTTTTTTATATGTATATTACTATATAGTTAAATGTTTAATATATTCATATTGTCAATATTTACTTTATAGCTTCTGGGGTTGAATATTTTACTTTGGGTCATGATAAATATTAGTTCTATTTTCTTCTAAAACTCCTTAGATTCTACTTATTGATTTTTAACTCACCTGAATATTTCTTGTATAATGTGTGAAATAGGGCTCTATATTTGTTTTTTCAAGTACTGGTGGTCCATGCACCTTATTTGTTGAATAAGCCTTATTTTACCCATTGATTTGAAATATCAACTTAATCATATGTTATATTGTTAGACAGATATATATGTTTGTCTCTCGAATGCTCATTATATTTCATTGATCTACTTGATTATTTCTGTGCTGATGTCATGTTGGTTTAATTGCTGAGACTTTATAACGGTTTTAAATTTTTAAAAATATTTTATAATTAACTTTGACATTTAAAAATTAAATAAAATCAATCTACATTTAAGGAAGAAAGAAAGAGAGAGAGAGATGGAACTCCTATGTTTTGCGACAACCTGGGTGGAACTGGAGGATATTAAGCTAAGTGAAATAAGCCAGTTGATGAAAGACAAATGCCATATGATCTCAACTATAAGTAGACTCTTATTCAACAAAATAAACTAACAAGCAAAATAAACCACAGGCACAGAAACATGGAGCAGACTAGAAGTGACCAGAGGAGATGGGGAAAGAGGACAATGGTGGACAGAAGGGGAAGAGACTAGACAAAGAACATGTATGAATGACCCATGGACATGGACAACAGAGTGGGAATTGACTGTGGGAGTTGGGGGTGGGGTTGGGATGGGTGGAGGGCGGTAAAGGGATAAAAACAGACAACTTTAATAGAATAAACATGATGTATAAGTAAAAAAATAAATTAATATGTTTACAAAAAGAAAAAAGAAAAATGTAGCCTTGACTGGTCCTACAGAAGAAAGGTAAATGTAAAAACTAAGACACAAGACTTCAGTTTCTAGTCTAGCTTAGAAGTTGCCACTCCACCTCAAAAACATGTAAAAAGCTGAAC